GTAGGGGGTCGGACACGATGATCCATTGTGGTCCCTTCCGACTCTACAATCGATGAATCTATGGCTAAGATTGCAATTCGTGGTAATACCAGTGACTGCAGACAGGGCTGTGGGGCCGGGAGCAGCTGGCGCAGGAGACACTGATGGTGCAACGCTTGTGCCTGCAGCTCCAGGAGGTGTTTGAGGACGTGGCTGTATATTTCACACGGGAGGAGTGGGAGCTGCTGGACGATGAAGACAAGGTGCTTTACCAGGAGCAGATGCTGAAGAATTACCAAGCCCTCGTTTCCCTGGGTAAAGCTCTGGGTCTTGCTTCCCCCGGAGATATGTGAACTCTGCAGTTTTGTAGTCATCTCCCTGTTTCAGCAGTCTCATCCTCATGGACTTTTGGCTGGAGGTTTAAATCCCCTTCCTCCCCACTGCCCTGTCAGTGATCAGGCCTCCCTCACATTTCAGCCTGAGATCTCCTCCTTCATTTGCTCCAGCCGCCTTCACTTGTGCCTTCCTCGTTCTTGTGACTCCTGGTTCTTCCATATGCAGCAGTTTCTTGGCAACATGATCTCCTTTTGCCTTCTCGGCACGTTCACACCATCTCCAGGTCATTGTGCACGAATGCACTAAGCTGTTCCTTGGGGGAGGATTCTGATTTCCTCCCTGTCTGACCTAGCGAATCCTCTCCAGACCCATTTAACAATCCTAGCGTGCTCTGTTCTGAGAGATCTAAATCCCCTTTCTCCTGTCATTATGACCCAGCAGAAGTTAATAGAAAGTCTTATCAGCCTCTGCTGCTACAACAGGGGGATGATGCATTTCCTCAACTGCTCCTCTAGTGACACGTGTACACGTTGTGTAACCCAGGTTGTCTGGCAAGCGGTGCTTCTGAGCTCTGGGTTGAGGTACTGATCTTTTACTAGGTGAATTTGCTTTTCTGATGCTTTCTTTCCCCTCCCTTTCCCCCAGAGGTTTCTCTTAGGAAAGTGCTTTAATGTTTTGTCCCACTCGGCAAACACCATCTAGACCGTTTCTGTATTATGGTCTTTCACATGCTGTGAAATGTCTCTTTCGGCCGTCTTTTGTCCATACGCACGACTCCCACGAACTTGGTGTTCAACCGTGCAGTGCTTGCCAACCTGTGCACTCATTGCCCCCTCCTGGGATGATCCTCCCAGTGGATGGGATGATTGCTGAGTTGCAGCTACAGTTATTATGAAATCATCTTATTTTGTCCCTGGTGATGATGAATTACTCTCTCCCAGAAAATAGTCTCAGTGTCAGTCACTTGTCATGTATGCTTTTCACTGCCATGAGTCCCTTCACTAAGCTCATTTTCACTTCTTTTCCTGGAATTACATTGGTAACATAAATGTTATGCATCCATATGTGTGTCCAATATCTTCTTTTTGGTATGTTGAAAACAGCGAACACTTTGTTTTTGCTCCCTTTTACTTCATAGATTTCATAGTTTTTTGGAGTTGGAAGGGATCTCAGTAGATCGTCAAGTCCGAGCCCTTGCCCTGGGCAGGAAAGAATGTCGGTGGCCTGACCAGTGCCGCATAGAGGGGAAGTATCACCTCCCTACACCTGTTTGTGATGCACATGCCAGTGCATGATAGACTGCAGTTAGCTTTATTGATCACTTCATCACATGGAGGACACATGTTCATTTTGGAGTAAGCTATGACTTTGAGATCCTTTTCTGCTGCTGTGTTGCTTACAAAGTCATCTCCCTGTCTGTAGGTGTGTTGGAAATTCCTTTCCCCTAAGTGCAGTAATTTCCATTTATCTTTGTTAACCTTTATCATATTCTCTTCTGCCCACTTTTCCAAACTGTCCAAATCCCCCTGAATCCATTCCCTGCCAACCAGTGTGTGTTTACTTTGCCCCATAATTTGGTGTTGTCCATGAATTTGGAGAGAGTGCTCTCCAAGCCCTCATCCAAGTCACTGGTGAAGATATTGAACAGCACTGGCCCAAGGACCGAACCTTGTGGGACTCCACTGCCCACATCTTGCCAGGTCAATACCGACTCATCCACTGCCACTCTCTGGGTGCGTCCCATAAGTCGATTTACTACCCACCTGACCATGCAATCATCTACATCACAGCCCCTTAGTTTATTTATTACACTGGCCAATTCTTTCAGCACCTTTGGATGGAGATCATCTGGGCCTGCTAACTTAAACCTTCATGTGTCCCTTCACTAGCTTGGTGCCAACTGTTGGTGAGCTGGTGTCCCTCCTGTGCCTATCTGTAGTCAAACTTAGACATATGTTGTTATCCGTGTTCAGAAATAAAGATGCATGGATCATGAATCTCCTTACCTGTCCCTGGTGACTCTGTCAGTGTAATGTCCTTTCTAAATTATGAGTCATTTGTGCTTTGTTTCCTATGACCATTCCTCATCCACCTGGGTGACAAGGACTGTTATCTCTTGAAGGTTTCTCCCTGCAGGGCCCTCTCTTTCATCTTAAACATCCATTCTCCCTTGTCCATCAAGGCCCTAGTAGACACCTTGAGTTCATTGGATCCATTCCCCAAATCCCAGTTGCATTCTGCATCCAGTACCCGGTCACAAATGCTCTTTAACCACTGCCCAAACAGGATATCGAGGTCCCACACCCGACTTAATCAGCAGCATCCAGCGAGGACAGGTGGAGCTCTGGGTCTGTGATGATGAGGACTGTGGGGAAATCTCAAGATGGGAGGACCTGCTGCAAGGTGAGTTGTGGCTGTTCCCCCAGACCTGACTGCTGTCAGTAAAGCTGTATGCCCAGTGTGCCAGGGTTACTGGAGGCCTGCCCTGTGCTGCCATTGCAGAATGCTGACTATGGATCTGCTGGCACATGCCCTCCTCCCTGACCTCACGCCATCCCTCGATGCATGTAGCAAGGGGAGTCCGCAAAATCTCTTATCAGTGCACTCCTAAGGATTATTGATGTGTGGGTACGGGGTTTGTGGGTGGCTGTGGGTGTGTATCTGGATGTGTGTATATGGGGCATGGGGGAGGGAGTTGGGGTGTGTGGATGTGGGTGGGTGGGTATGGGTGGTTTGTGGGGATGTGTGGGTAGGATGGGGTTTGTGGGGGATAAGTGGTGTGTGTGTGGTATGTGCATGTAGCAGTGAATGGGACTTCCCCCAGAGACTTGTAGATGTAAGTGTTACGGGGGTCTAGGGGAGGGTGTGGGGTGTATGATTGGGCAAGGGTGAGATTATGGGGTTTCTGTGGGAGAGTTTAAGGGTATGTGGGGTGTGCATGGGAGCCCCTGCATGAGCCCAACTTAGCTGGTCAGGCCCTATGCCCACCCAGCAACAGCCTGCTCCGCCCAGCCTTGACGCATTCAACCGCCCCTGGGCATGCAGCATGGGTACGGTAGCGCCTTCTGGCTGCTGCACCCACCCTGATGATAGCAGCAGGACCAGCGTTTGCAGCCCCTTCCAGTCTGAGCAGCACCAGCAGCAGCAGGGCATAAACTGTTGCTCGTTGCCGGGAGGAAAAGCAGACCCTCCCCTTTGCCGCTGCTGGGCAGTTTTTGGTGCTGCTGCCTACAACATACCAAGCTCCCCTGTGGCTCGGGCACTGCTGCCTCTGGGCTGCCCTGCGACTGCTCTGCACTGTCACTGCTGCCGCACAGGTCAGCCCAGAGGCAGCAGAGATGGAGCTGCAGGGCAGCCTGGTGCAGTGCAGACTCTGGCAGCTGAGCCAAAAACTGCCTGATGGCAGCGAGAGGGAGATGCTGTTTTTCTTTTACAACAAGCAACATTTTCTTCCCGATGCAGCCGCTGCTGCTGTTCGGCCTGGAGTGGTGAGCCTGGCAGTGCTGGAGCCCAGGCTCAGCAGTGGTGGCATGGGAGAGAAACTGCTGCTCAGCATGGAGTAAAAGCTGCCCCTCCCTCTCCCGCTGCTGGTGCTTTCTGATGTATCTGCCTGGAGCTCGCACGTGGCTTCCCTGCTTCTGCTCTTTGTTGCCACCTCTGCCTCACCAGGCAGCCTAGGATGTTAGCAAAGCTAACACAGGAAAGAATGGGGAAGGCTGGGACACTAGAAAGACCTGAACACTGTAACAAGGGATAGAGGAGTGAAGGAGGAAGAATAAGCAATAGGGAAATGAGAAGTTGGGACTCAAGAGAAGTGATTTGTTTTAGGTGTGAGGGAAAAGGCCACATAGCGAGAGATTGCAATAAGAAAGTAGGAAGTGAAGGGGCCCATGAGTTTTCCCACAAAGAGCAGATGGACTGCAGTTTTGGGAAACACAGAGAACCATGGCACAAGGCCAAACCTATAGTCGAAGTAAAAATAGGGGATATAATAGTACCTGCTATCATTAATACAAGATGCCCACAAACCATATTAAGGTCTGAACTGGTGTCACTTTCCATAGGAGAATTAGTAACACCCATAAATATGGTCTGTATACATGGGGCCTCATACACATATCAGAAGAAGAGATTAAGACTGACCGTGTTAAACCAAATGGAAGAAATTGTGGTAGGATTAGCTGAGTCTCTGCCCTGCCCCATGCTATTGGGGACAGAGTGGCCATACTTGCAAGAAGTAGTGACTAAAGCAATGGGAGAGCTAAAAACCCGCGATTATGTGAAACGAGTGGAAAGGGCATTAGGGGGAGTAAAACTTCCAGAGCAAGGGCCGAATGCAGGAGAGGAAGAAGGAATAGATCTAGAAAATATAGGGGAGGGCCATTTCAGAGAACATGAAAAACAAGAGCAGCTGTTCCGAAACATTTTCGAAGAAAGCCTAGCCAAGAGGGAGGAGGAGGTACTCCGACCTGAGCTGGTGGAAAGGACACCCCATTTTGAGGCAAGAAGAGGGATCCTTTACTGGATAGATAAAGGCAGGGAAGGAGAGGAAGTAGCACAAATCCTGGTGCCTAGGCAGTACTGGTTGCTGTTGTTAACGATTGCTCATGCATTACCAATGCGGGGTAATTTGGGCCAGGATAAAACAGAAGCCTGGTTAAAACAAAGGGTTTTTGGGCTAGGCCTTTATAAGATCATGGAAAGGTACTGTAGGGAATGCCTGGAGTGTCGGAAGCAATCAGGTTATAAACCCACGAAAATACCTTTAGTATCCATGCCACAGTCAGTGCGCCCGTTTGAAAGAATAGCCCTGGATATCGCAGGACCATTCCCAAGGAGTAATGTAGGATATCATTATGCACTAGTGGTGGTAGATTACCCTACGAGGTTTCCAGACGCGATACCCGTGAAGAATATTATGACACTGAAGATAGGAGAGGAACTGATAAAGTGGGTCTCAAGGGTGGGGATCCCAGAGAAGATTCTAACAGGCCAAAGGAAGACGTTTATGTCAGGGGTATTATGAGGGCATATTTTATGATAAAACAGCTCAAGCCCTCTGCATACCACCCACAAATGGATGGACTAGTAGAAAGGTTCAACAGAACTTTGAAGGGAATGTTAATGGCATGCATTCAGGGTGACCCAAGGAAATGGGAGTCGATGATACCTCTGTTAGACCCTGACTCCATGCAGTGCCCAACGACTAAGGAGATGATGATCCAATTCCTCATGGATCCTGTTACTCATGAGCCAGAGCAAGCAGGGAGGAAACACCAGTACACATTGCTCACAACAGCTTTATTCAGAATGGAGACAGCTTTGGGCAAGGTCTTAAAAAACCAACGAACTGGGGACCTGCACTGAACATTAGTTCTTTTCACATTTTGTACACATTGGCTCATACATATTAACATATGTTCCACCTATTTTCCTCCTTCTGTTCCACCCATTTCTCCTCCCATTTCAAGCTCTGCCTCTGTTTACTCCATTAGCATGGAATTGTTTATGCATTTTCTTAATTTACATGCCTCTCTCCTACGAGTGCATGCGTAAGACTTTGACTTCTGCTTCTTTCGGTCACTTGCTGGTTCTTTCTGGTTTTTTACTGATTCCTTCTTCATCTCCAAGGCCTTGCTTCTGCTTTATCTCCTGACCATAGCTGGCGAGCTGCATCTTGTTCTCCGTACACAATGGGCTCTAACACTACAACCTTGTCAGAAAACTTCTTGCCTAAGCATTTGCAAGGTTATTTTTAATATATCATTTTGCGTTGTGACCAGCAGCTTTTGCTGAGACACAGGAAAAAGCCTTTTTATTTAGCTGCAAATCCAGTGCTTCCCCAGACCCAAATCCTGTCACCCTAACATCCTCCATTATTGTTTACAGTCAGAGAGGCTCCCCAGGCATCCACAGGGTGCACTTCCTTCGAATTAGTTTATGGACACAAACCAAGGGGGTTGCTTAATATTATCAGTCAGGGGTGGTCAGAGGGACCACCATGTGAAGGGAGACAACCACAGTTTGTGCGAGATTTTCGGGAGTGTTTGGAGAGTGTTCAAGAAGTGGCAGAGGAGAACCTGGGACTTAATCTCGTTTTTACCTCTGTTGGCTATGACACACACGCCAAAGACAGAGATTTGAAAGAGGGAGATTGGGTCTTGGTTTTGCTTCTCAATAAGTCACAAATTGTTGTCACTGTGACAGTGACCTTTTCAAGTGACTAAAAGGCTAGGGCCAGTAAATTATGAAGTACAGAGGATGAGCCCCATAAGGAAGAAGCAAAATTATCACATTAACATGCTGAAAAAGTGGAATGACAGGGAAGCGTGGCTGATGCAAGGAGAAGTAGGAGACCTAGACGATGTAGGAGACCCTAGGATATTAGAATTTGTGACAGGAGAACCCCAAATAATGGAAAAACAGACCCCTGGACAGAGGGAAGAGTGAGAAGAGTTGATAGCCAAATTCCCAGATGTATTTAGTGAAAAACCGAGTAGAGCCAAGAGCGTGGTGCACAGCATCAGGACAACTGAGGGGTGTATCGTAAGAGATCATTGGAGACAACTGCTGCAAGACTTATGGAGAATAGTGAAACAAGAAATCACACAGATGTTGGAGGCAGATATAGAAGAGTCACGAAGTCTGTGTAGGAGTCATCTAGTGATAGTCCCAAAGTCAGACAGGACTATCTGGGTATGTGTAGATTTTAGAACGGTGAACAAGGTGGCAACTTTTGATGCATCCCCCATGCCTCCAGTGGAAGAAATGCTAGAAAAGATAAGCCAGGCCAAGTATATTTTTTTACATTTGATTTCACAAAAGGTTACTGGAAAATACCCATGAATGCTGTAGATAAAAAGAAGACTGCCTTCGCGTCACCATGGGGGTTATTTCAATTTAAGTGTATGCCATTCAGTCTCCATGGAGTGGTAGCATCTTTCCAACATTTAATGGATAAGACGTTAGCCCCACACCAAGATCATCATCATCTTATAGTGATGATATTATAATCTTTTTGCCCAACTGGGAACAACATTATCAACATATATAGATTGTTTTGCAAGAACTCGGAAAGACAGGCTTGACAGCTAATCCAAAGAAGTGTAGCTTGGGGCAGGAGGAGGCCAAGTATCTGGGTTTCCAGGTAGGACAGGGACAGGTAAGACCACTGGCAGACAGAGTAGAGGCTATAAGGCACTATAAGGTACCAAAGACTTTAAGACAACTTAGGTCATTCCTAGGTTTTGCAAACTGTTATAGGAGATTTGTCAGGGATTTTTCCAAGAACGTGGAACCCCTCACAGACATGACAAAGGGTAAGCCCAGGTATTTAAGATGGTCTGAGCAAGCAATGGAAGGCTTTGAGGAAGTCAAACGGCTGCTGTGTAAGGCACCAGTCCTATATTTTAGACACCGACTTCATTCGGCGCCTAACGACTAGGGAGACAATGACCTAATTGCTTATGAATCATGTTACTCATTAGCCAGAGCAAGCAAGGAGTAAATGCTACCAAGTCAGGAACTTTAGCCCAGAACTGGGACCTGTCCCTCCCTCACCCCCAGCAATTCAGCTTTCGACAGGAAGACCATGTTTTCTAGAGGGAACACAATGCCAAGGTCCAGGCCTGTTCTGAGGCCCATCCCAACAGAAGGGATAGCAATGTTTGCCCTTTGCCAGGAGGGTAGGGTCTAATTTGGAGTTTCTCTCTCCCATGCAGGAGGTGCCTGCTTACTGAGCAGAGCTGAGGAGCAGCCTCCTGTGGAAGAGTCTGCAGACCTGGAGCCAGCGCAGACTTCCCCAGGGAGTTTGGGTGAGATGGACTCCCTGAGACCTGAGAAGGAGCAATCGCACGATAGTCAGGGGAGGCCCCAAACGCAGAAGGAGAATGTAGTGATGAACCAGGTACCATCTCCAGTTGGGGGTGAGGGTGGAGAAGGGCCAGAACCCGGAAAGCCTTGGGTGCAGGGAATAATTTGTGGAGGTGAGAGACCAGAGAGCCCCTATAAAAATGCACTGCATGCAAGCAAAAGCTGTGGGGAGGGCCTCAGAGGGAAGCAGGAGCTAATTGCCAAACACAGGGGCAGAGCTCACCCCTACCTTACAGTCAGGAAAACATTTAAGTGCCCATCAGTCCTAGCTCTTCACAAGCACTGGGGAGAAGTCCCATGTATGCAGCCAAGTGTGGGAAGAGCTTCACCTGCCTCTATGCCCTGGTTGTTCACTGCCAGACCCATTCTGGAGAGCTACCTCACCGCTTCACCAAATTGGGGAAGAGCTTTGTGTGCCCCACAGACCTGGTCAAGCACCTACATGTGCAGAGGGGGAAGTGTCAGGCACAGCTGGGGCAAGCCCTTCAGCCCTTTTTTCTCCCTGTCTCAGGACCGGTGCATCCCCCTAGAGAGGAAGACACTTCACTGCACTGAGTGCAGGAAGAACTTCATCTGCTTTCAAGACCTGTCCCAGCACGAGTGTGTACAGCACTGCTGCACCAAGTGTGGGAAGAGATTCAGACAGCTCTCCAAACTGGTGAGCCACTTGTGCATGCACACAAAGGAGAAGCTACATCAGTGTTCAGAGTGTGGGAAGAGCTTCTCTCAGTCCTCCCATCTGGCTAAGCACCGGCGTATTCACACAGGGGAGAAACCACATCAGTGCTCACAATGTGGGAAGAGCTTCACTCAGTCCTCCCATCTGACTAAGCACCAGCGTATCCACACAGGGGAGAAGCCATATCAGTGCTCAGAGTGTGGGAAGAGCTTCAGTGTGTCCTACAGCCTGGCTCTGCATCAGCGTATCCACACGGGGGAGAAGCCACATCAGTGCTCAGATTGTGGGAAGAGCTTCACTCAGTCCTCCCATCTGACTAAGCACCAGCGTATCCACACAGGGGAGAAGCCACATCAGTGCTTGGAGTGTGGGAAGAGATTCACTCTCTCCTCCAGCCTGGCTCTGCACCAGCGTATCCACACAGGGGAGAAACCATATCAGTGCTCAGTGTGTGGGAAGAGATTCACTCAGTCCTCCCAGCTGGCTCAGCACCAGCGTATCCATACAGGGGAGAAACCCCATCAGTGCTCAGATTGTGGGAAGAGCTTCACTCACTCCTCTGGCCTGGCTAAGCACCAGCGTATCCACACGGGGGAGAAGCCACATCAGTGCTCAGAGTGTGGGAAGAGCTTCACTCACTCCTCTGGCCTGGCTAAGCACCAGCGTATCCATGCAGGGGAGAAGCCATATCAATGCTCAGACTGTGGGAAGAGCTTCATTCGGTCCTCCACCCTGGCTCAACACTATCGGATCCACACAGGAGAGAAGCCACATCAGTGCTCAGCGTGTAGGAAGAGCTTCATTCGGTCCTCTGACCTCACCAGACACTGCATCGTCCACACAACAGAGAAACCATATCGGTTCTCGGAGTGTGGGAAAAGCTTCAACTGATCCTCTAACCTGGCCTAGCACCAGCTTACCCACACTGGTTAGAAGCCACATCAGTGCTCAGACTGTGGGAAGATCTTCACCCAATTCTCCCACCTGTCCCGGCAACAGCTCATTGACACAGATTAAAAACTAGTGCATCCATATCTGGGAGTGTCTTTAATTCTGTCAGTAATACAGGAAGGTTTTGGGGATGTATACCAGCTCAGCACCCACCAATGTCTGCATCCAAGGAAGCAGTCTCATGCCTGTGGACTGCAACAACAGTTCACCCTTTGTTCAGCCTTTCTAGGGCACTGCAAAACCCAAAGGACACAGAAGCTGGCCTCCCAGGTTTGAGGGTGAAGGGTTAAAAGGAGACACCTCAGGCAGAGGCCAGCCTGGATACTGGGGGAACCTGTGAGGAGATGATCTTTGCATCAGCCTTGGAGCCTGTGCCATCCCCATCATTCTCTAAAAGCAGTCAATACTCCCAGGGGGAGAAGAATTGCCTTCACAATAGGTGCCTTCCCCAAGACAGTTGGCTCCAAATGACATGCAGGGACTGTCTTTGTTCAACTACCCTGCTAGCCTCAGGGTTCTTGTATGTGAGGCTCTAGAGTTGCAGGAAGGAAGACATTTATTGCTGGGGAAGCATTCTCTGCCCTCCACCCTGACCATGCCTTTCCTCCCCACTGCATCACCCCTTCTTCCAGGCCTGCACATACCCATTGAGGTCTGCAAGAAACTGCTACTGCCACCCCATGAGCCCAGTTTGGCAGGGTTTTTTTTCTTCTCAGCCCCTCATCAGAACTCAGCACCACCAGGTGTCAGCTGTACCCCCCGCCCCACCCGCCCTCCTTTCCTGCATGCCATTCTCTATAGCAGGTTCCTTGGTAATCAAGCCCCACAACTTAACATGATACCCCTGAGGTTGGTCTCTATGTCCTCTTACAGCTGTGAAATGCAATAATAGGTGTAAAGGAGGTGCATGCAGCCTGTAACAGGTCCTTCCTCTTCTGTGGAAGGGTGGGGAAAGAATGAAGGCATCCTCTGGGTGAAATGCAGCATGTTGTAATCTCTCGGGAATACTGAGGCTTCCGTCCTCGTGCCAAAGCCATTTGGCTCCGTGAGTGTCCTGTAGGAGCCACTCCAAGAGGCTAATAACCCATCCGGCAGAAAAGGGCCGGGGAGTTAAAGTGGGCTCTAAGGTGACTGAGCCAGCAGTGTGCCTTTGTTGCCAAGAAGGCTAAGGGCATGCTGGGCTACACTGGTAGGAGTGTTGGCAGTAGGGCAAGGGAAGTGATTCTTCTCTATTCTGCACTGGGGAGGCCACATCTGGAGTCCTGTGTCCAGTTGTAGGCCCCCCACCACAGAAAGGATGTGGACACATCAAAGAGTCCATCAGAGGGAAACAGAGGGTGAGGGGGGCATTTTCACAGACCTGCGTTTTGCATTTTAGCTTAAGTTTCTGTTCCACCCAAGAGAGTCCCAAAACACCAGTATTCTCATCCTATAACTGAAGCAGGGTGGTTGTTCCCGAAAGATTGTAAGGAACCATTTTTCCAGTGATTTAACTGATCTAATAAAAGATCTCACGTTGCCCAAAGAACCTTGTCTATGTTCCATACATCGTCATCACTTGTTGGATAGGCTGTACTATACTTTTGATCATTGAGCTCTCATCTGTATTTCATTATTAAACTTGCTAGGCGAAAGAAGCGACATGGATGTTTGTGAGTGATTTTGGTGGGACTGCCTCTTCAACCCTTTCTTGGTGCCCAGAAGGACTCTGAGGGTCATCAAGCCTTCCCCAAGCCCTCAGACTTCGTGCTGCTTGGGGAAGAGGCTGGAGGTCAGTGCCCCCAATTTGTTGCATTTTACTTCAAATAATTTGGTCCTTTTCAGCCATTGCTTTTGATATTTGGAAGCTTTGTGCCATATAGGGCTCCCACTCATCCCTATTTCTTCCTGTCTTGCATCCTGAATAATACTTGCTTCCATTATGAGAGCAGCCATTTCAGCATCTTTCAAATTATGGCGAAAAGGAATGAACTGCGGTCCTATGTGGTAAAAACTCCCTACGGTCACATCTACAGGAGGTACAGAAGACACTTAAGAATGGATTACTCATCAGTACCAGCAGACCATGTGGATGCACCTCAAAATAAGGCAGCAGAACAAACATCTGAAGTAAAACCAGACCACCAAGAGCAAGAGTTTTGTTACATTTCAGAAAATCCACCAGTACCCCCAGAGACACCTGAAGACACCATGCAAACTAAGACTGGATATGTGATGAAGTTGCCTGCGAAATACAAGGACTATGTAATGGGATAGTGGTAAAAGCTTACCAGCCCTTCTGCTATGTTTCCTCTGCATGGGAAATGACTTCCTTTGTGCTTCAAGGATTGTATCCTTAAGGAACAACCTCTCTTCATGCACTCCTTTTGCCTTCAGTCCCTGGTCCTGCAGCAGTTCCCCCACTAGTGACCAGAGCTTGTTGAAATTTGCATTGTTGAATTCCAGAGCTTCAATCCAGCTGTCCAATTTGTCTGCCTTGTGACGGGCAGTGAACATGATGGTTTCATGGTTGCTTTCACCCAGGCTACTCTCTAAGTTTAAGTCAATCATCAGGTCATCTCCTTTGGCCAGGACTGAGTCTAGAAGAGCATTACCTCTGGTTGCCCCAGCCCCGCGGTAGTGATGGGGACCAGCACGCATCGCATCTGCTCCAGGCTCTCCCATCTGGGCTGAGCAATGGCAGCACTGGACAGAAACTGCTGCTCAGCACAGAATAAAAGTGGCTTCTCCCCATCGCCACTGCCAACGCTTCCTGGTGTAGCTGCTCTGAGCCCACACAGGATTTCCCTGTGTCTACACCACATCACCACCACCTCTGGGCTGCCCAGCGCAGCAATGGTGACAATGTAGTGCAGCTTCAGGGCAGCCCAGAGGCAGCAGCAATGGAGATGCAGGGCAGTCTGGTGTGGTGCAGGCTCCAGGTGGCTGCACCAAAAACTGCCCAGTGGCAGTGAAGGGAAGGGACCACTTTTCCCCCCTCACACACACACACACACACACATGCCCCCACACACCTCCTGGGGGAACCCTACTCACTGCTACCTGCACACACCCCACAACATACACGCACTCACACACGCACACCCCCAGCCACCCTCCTGTTCCACACACCCCAAAACCCCTCACAAACCCCATACACACTCACCCAAACCCCCATACCCACCCACACACCCACATCCACTTGCAGGCCAAGCCCTATGAGGAGAGAATGAGGCACCTGCACCCCTTCAGCCTCCGCAAGAGAAGGTTGAGAGGCGACCTTGCAGCTGCCTATAAGTTCATCACGGGGGCACAGAAGGGAATTGGTGAGGTTTAATTCACCAAGGCGCCCCCGGGGGTTACAAGAAATAATGGCCACAAGCTAGCAGAGAGCAGATTTAGACTGGACATTAGGAAGAACTTCTTCACAGTAAGAGTGGCCAAGGTCTGGAACGGGCTCCCAAGGGAGGTGGTGCTCTCCCCTACCCTGGGGGTCTTCAAGAGGAGGTTAGATAGGCATCTAGCTGGGGTCAT